ATGAAAGATGAGACATATTTTAAAACAAAAATTAAATTGTTTACAGGTTATTCATTTGTTCATCCTCTTTGTAGTCTGGTGGTTTCCTGTTTTGCTATGCCTGTGAGAGGTTCTTAGCCCTTTGGAAGTGTTCTTTAAAGAAACAAACCTGAGCGGGACATAAACCCAGTGTAGTTTACCCCTTGATCAGCAGTCATATAAACAGCCTGTCCTGAGCAAGCTGTCCAAGGCATGGGTTAGTCAGGAATCTAACTGGAGTGATTAAAATATTTGGTTCTGATTACTTCCAGCATCCCAGTGGCACTGAGCCAAAATGTATAATTTTGTAGCATTAATTAATGAAGAAACTAAAAATCATGTTAGCTGTTACTACCCAATTTCATTAACCTCTTGTCCTCCTTCCATTTCACACTTGAATTCTGGCATTATTTTTAGTAACCTCTGGCACTGTGGGTTAATGCGCCAGACTGCAAAGCCATTTGAACTGCAAGGTCGGTGGTTCAGGCTCACCAGCTGCTCCTCAGAAACCCTGTACAGGGTCGTATGGGTCGGAATCGACTCAACAGCACTTAACAACAACAACAATAATTAATTGACAGTATCTAAAGTACTATTCCAGAGTAGGAAAAAAGTAATTAAAGTAAAAATTACAGTATCATAATTTGCGGCACCGTGGGTTAATGTGCCAGACTGCAAAGCCATTTGAACTGCAGGTCAGCAGTTCAAGCTCACTAGCTACTCCTTGGAAACTCTGTACAGGGTCGCTATGTGTTGGTTATTGTTAAGTACTCGACAGCACTTAACAACAACAATTTTAACAGATCCTAGGGTAGTGGTTACAAATCGGGCTGCTAACCTAAGGGTCAGCAGTTCGAAACTACCAGCAGTTCGGCAGGAGAAAGATGAGGCTTTCTGCTCCTGTAAAGATTTACAGTCTCAGAAACCCTGTATAGGGTTGCTATGAGTTGGAACCAACTCCACGGCACATAACAACAACAACAACATCATTGTTATTATTGTCTGATCAGCTCTAACCCATAGCGACCCTGTACAGTGTTTTCAAGGAGCTCTGATGATAACGATTATTTGGTTAATTTTCTAAATTAGACCAACTTGAATTTTTATTTTTGCCATTTAGATGCTCTATTCATCTAGCTCTTGTAAAGCATAAGTCAAAATGAAATTCCCTATATCATCTTTGACATTCTTCCCAAGATGAATTTTGTCACCTACATTACACTAAGAAAATACTTCCTCACTCTTTCCTGCCAGTGTTTTTCTCCTCCTTAACTATTCTAATTTCAGGATTCAGCTCCCTAGTCAACATGTAAGTTTAAAAATAAATTTTGAGAAACTATCATAGAAGTAAAGGAGATGCTCACTTTGTTAAAATTTATTAGGGAAGATTTCTTAATAACAAATGCATTTAAATGTAGCATCAACAGATAATTTCTTCTCTCACCCTACCGTAGACTTGTCAGTGTTAATTCAATTATTTTTTTTTTATTATTGTTATTTTATTTTTTAGCTTTTTGAAATCTAATTTTTGTATAGATGAGTTCAGATGTGGACCTGAATGTGTTTTGCAAAATGTTCTTCATTAAAGGAATTTGTTTATAAATGATCCTTTTTTTTTTAAGAACTAAGTTTTTTTATTGTCTTATTTCTGGCATTTGAAATATTCTTCAGTGACATCTTGGCTTCAGATTTTTTTGCCGTGGTCCTTAACAACCACACAACTACAACCCACCATTTTTCAAGGTTTTCCTTCTGTGTCAATTTTGCAGAGGTCTACCCATTCCCTTAACTTAGTGTTGTCATCAACCTTAAACAAGTTGAATTGGTGTTCAGCACATTGGGCTTCTACTAACTTGACACACATGGGTTCATCACAGTTGGATGGAAGCACACAATGATGGGCTTGACGCTTGTCCAAAGCTTTGGCAGCTTCACGAATTCCACATTCTTGGCCATCATTGTTGAGGGTGTCTTCTGCAGCTCTTGTAAAGCAGTGTTAGTGTCCATTACACCTCCAGCAGCAATGCCTTCCTCAGCAATGGCGATGGGTTATGGGGGGAGCCAAATCTTGAACGCCTCTACCTCCCACAGTTCAGTGGAGACAGGGAAAGACCCATTGTTTTTTCAGATAAAATTTTCATTGTCTTCCCAGAAAGCCTTGATGATCAACAATGAAAAGTCGATATTGTGAAGCTTTTTGTGAATTTTAAAAGTGCAAAATAAAACAACTAGATTTAAAAAAATATTTATCTCCAGCTTCATTTCTTTCACCAGGATCATATTTCTCAACTACTGCCCCTTCCTCTTTGTTTCTTACATTTGTTTGCAATCACCAGTAATTATCGATGCATGTTGATTGCATGTTTGATTAATTTCAGACTGAAGAAGTTGGTGGTAGTTATGTGCTGTGGAGTCAGTTCCGACTCAGCGACCCTGTGATAGGGTTTCTGAGGCTGTAAATCTGTGGGAGCAGAAAGCCTCATCTTTCTCCCGTCTGACGGCTGGTAGTTTCGATCTGCTGACCTTGAGGTTAGCGGCTCAACTCGTAACCACTACGCTGCCAGAGCTCCTTGAAGAAGCTGGTATAAATCTTCAATTTCATCCTCACTCACCTTTGTGGTGGTTGTTTAAATATGAATAGTAATGGTATTAATTGGTCTTCCTTGTTGTTGTTAAATGCCTTCAAGTCGATTCCAACTCATAGTGACCCTGTGTGGTTTCAGAGGCTTTTATATCTTTGCAGGCGAAGAAAGCTTCATCTTTCTCCCATGGAGCAGCTGGTGGACTTAAACCACAGATATTGTTTGAAGTCCAGTGCTTATTGTATGAAACCATCATGCTCCCTGGTTTTCCTTGTTGTTAAGTGCCATTGAGTTGGTTCTGACTCATATAATGACCCTGTATAGGGTTTCTGAGGAGCGCCTGGTGACTTTGAACCGCTGACCTTGCATTTCAAACTGACCTTTTGGCCCACTACTTATTCTACAGTGCCACACCTTGACTTCTTGTAGTCGTATCCTATCCTATCACAGACAACACTGTACTTCAAGGTGGATCTTGAAATGTTCTTTTTGACAATAAATGTGACACCATTCCAATTCAATTTGATGTTCTTGGCATAGTAAACCATGTCACATTAAAAGTTTCAATACCAGCTCATTTCAGCATTCCATTCCATTTCTGACAACTTCTGACTTTCCTAGATTCCTACTTCATACATCCCACGTTCTGATTGTTAGTGAATGTTTGCGGCTGTTTCTCTTCATTTTGAGTTGTGTCCCATCACCAAATGAAAGTCCCCAAAACTTAACTCTATCCATGTCATTTAGGTCAACCTCTACTTTGAGGAGACAGCTTGCCCCCAGTTGTATTTTGAGTGCCTTCCAACCTGAGGCACTCCTCTTCCAGCCTTCTGTCTGACAGTGTTCTGCTGCAATTCAGAAGTGGTCCACCTCTCCTTTCTAGTCTTAGTCCGGAAGCTCCGCTGAAACCTGCCCACTGTGGGTGAGTCTTGCTGCCATTTAAAATACCATTGGCATAGCTTCCAGCATCACAGTAACACACAAGCCACCACAGTAGTCAGACTGGCAGACGAATCGTGGGTCATTACTGTTAACATTATGCAATAGTGTCTTTAGTTTGATACTGAAAGGTTTTTAATTACCTTATTGTGGAATCACTTTTGTTTCTTTTCTAAAGCATTGTTTGTGATCCAGGAACTAGCAACCTTTATATTTCTTGCAGCACACATGAAGAAACATGTTCAATTTCTTTACTATCATATTTAGCCTTAGGGTTTTACTTTGGAGTAGTGTTTCTCTACTGGGTAAGGTAGCTTTGGGGATCTGTCAGTTCTTTAACATACCTTGCCCCCAAGCAAATGTCTGGAGTTCACCCTAGCCAATATGAGAACCATGCCTGTAATTCACTGAAGCCAGTTTGAGAAGCAAACAATCCTTTCTTTTCTCTCTTCTTTGGATAGAGTAGCACCCTAATAGAAAAGTATTGTTTATGAACAAGAAGTACTAGAAAATTTAGCAAAGAAATACAAGTGAATATCTAAAGCATCCTTGCTGGTTGCTCAAATGTGCTGTTTACATAACAATAGTAATCCTTCTACCCTTTGAGTTATGACTTAGAGACTTGGAAGTATCAGTTTCCCTCTTTTTTTTTCATTGGGTTGCTAAACTTCATACCTAAAGGAAAATCATGTTGTCTATGAGATTTTAATGACTATCCTTTGTTTCGTATTATATATTGACTGTACACCTTCTCCCCTGTCATTTCACTTAATAGCAGTTGGTGTGCCAATTCTGGGAAAAACATTAACTGATTTTTTTGTTTTTTACAGCTTATTTGTTTTTGAAATTTCCTAACCTATGTCTTTTTTTGTGTGTGTGTGTGGGGGGGGGCTATGTAGAAACAAATTTGAAAGAACCACCTTTGAATTTAAGAAAATCTTTTGCTTTAATTGCTGTTAATTACGTGAAACGATTTGCTATGTTTCATTGACTCTACTATTGGAGTCCTTGCGGGGGGGAGGGGTACAAAGAGTTAATGCATTCAGCTACTAATCAAAAGGTTAAAGGCTTGAGTCTACTCAGAGGCACCTTGGAAGAAAGATGTGGCAATCTTCTTCTAAAAATGCAGCCATTGTAAGCCGTATGGAGCACAGTTCTACTCACCATGAATTAGGATTGACTCTATGGCAACTGGTTTGTGAGCTGAGACAGAAGGAAGTGCTGCCAACTTAATGCTGCCCCATCACCAGTTGTGCGACACAGCCAATTTTCCATTTTAGAGATGTTAAAATATGTCAAAACGTGCCTCTTAGAATTGACTATGTAAAATATCTACAAAACGTTTTTTGTTTTGTTTTTCAGAGTTTTGCCACTAGTGTCAACCTTTTATTTTTCATATATTTTTGCTTAGTAAGATTTGATTTTTTGTGTTTTTTTTCCCCCTTATCCTTATTTGGTTAGCTTTCTTGTAAACTGGAGCGAGAATTTCGATGTGTGGAACTTGCTGATCTGATGACTCCAAATGCTCTGAATTTAGCCATTAGATATGCATCTGGTTCTCGGAAGTTAATATTGGCCCAAAGGCTTAGTGAACTCGCTGTGGAGAAAGCAGCAGAAATGGCTGTGGTCCAGGAGGAAGAAGAGGATGTTGGAAGAAAACGGAATGCGGGGTAAGAAAAACAATATGCCCTCAATATTAAACTGGTCTTTGCATTGCTCTTTATTGAATATTTCTATTATCTTTTAGTCACTGTAATACCACCTCAGAGTGGAGCCAGTCAAGGGTTAGAAATCAAGTTGAAGAAGCAGAGGACAGTGGAGAAGCTGATGAAGTAGAAGAAAACCCAGAAATACGTAAGCATAGTGAGATAACATTTTCAAGGCAATAAATGAGAGGTGCCACGCTGTGGCTTTCCCTGTTTTACCTGATGAAAATTCGAATACCCATAGTTTTTGAAACCCCTTTGCCTGTCTGTTGAATATAAAAGATAACTTCGTCCTCCCATTTACATTATGCTGTTTTTATTATTCTTTAGGACAGAACTTGTTTTCCAAAAGTGCAAATTCCTCAGATGCGCCAGCTGTTAAGTCAGGTGAGAAATAATTATAAATTTGTAACACCACGGAAATTTTACAAGTAATCTTTCAAGTGGTGTTGTTGCTGTTGTTGTTAAGTGCTGTTGAGTCAGTTCTGACTCGTAGTGACCCTGTCTAGGGTTTCCGAGGACTGGCTGGTGATACATGTGCTCACATACATCTGTTACTTAAATCAGAGATGTTTGTGAACCTGTGGTCATTTAGCAAATGTATGAAGTCCTTGTGCTAGGTAGGATCCAGAACGCAGCAGACTTGCCAGGTTGATCCCTGCCCTAATGCCATTTCAGCCCATCAGGGAGGACAGATAGCACATATGTAACTGTCAAGTTCCTGAGCGTCACTAAGGAGACACACTGTGTGCTGGAGAAACAGTTGAAAGTAGCTGTCTTTGGGACGTGGGCTGGGGGGATAGAGAAAATTGAAGCAGGTGGTTTCTCATTTTTTTTTTTTTTTTACTTGTTATATATTTTTCTTCTTAAATTATGTCCATATACAAGAGAGTTCATATTACTTTGGTAGAAATGAATTTTTAAAACATACACCACATACTTACTACCATAGAGTCGGTTCTGATTCATATCAAGCCTGTATAGGGTTTCCTTTGTCTTTCTCCTTTACAGGGCTTGAACTGCTGACCTTGTGGTTCTCAGTCCAGTATTTATCCTACAGAGTATTACAAGAACATAAATCAGATGGCTGTAAACAAGTCAGTGGTCAGGGGTGGGTAGAGACCATAGATAAAACCTCTTAGAAAAGCAAGAGTTTGAAGGAAAGGCCTGAAGTATAAGAGCCAGGGAGCAGTGGTAGGTGAGAGTAGGGACAGGGGAAAGCACTAGGGCTTAGGTAACGGCATGTGTAAAGACTGTAATGGAAGAGGGCAAAGGGAAAGTACTGCTGGCTGCTTTTTGATAACCAAATCTTGCAGAATTGTGTCAGCTTATTTAGGGTTTCATAGTGATCTTTATTATAAGATCACTGGGAATCTGTTGTTTTTAAGTAGGGGCATAACATGACATTAGCATATGCGAAGAATGGATATATTGGGACATTTCCGCCAGTCCAGGTGAGATTGAATAACTAGACTAGACTGGTGGTATTGAGGGTAGAGAATGGAAAGGATTGAAAAAGTGTTTCTGAAGAAAATGTAGTGTATAGGTGTTCAGGCATGAAGAATGACTGTTTCCTAGCTTGAATTATGAGTCAATGATGACAGTGCTGTTGATTGAATCAGGAAGCACTGAAGTAGGTTTTGATAGGAAGATGAATTTCTAATTCACTGGAATTTTGTATATAGACAGTTAGATGTTTGAATTAAGAACTCAGAAAGGGAACTTGAGTTGGAAATAGATAATGAAAATTACTGACATAAGTGTAGCAATTAAAACTGTGGGTTTGGGTCAGTGAGCATTGACGGGATGTAGCCCTTTAAACATCAGATAGAGGAAGAGTGGAACCATCCTTGTACAATAAGACCAAGGGCTCAGAGAAGAAAGAGGTGAGCCAAGAGAATGTGGTATCTCAGAAGTCAAGGAAGGAGAGAGTATCAAGAAAGTGGGGCAGTCAACCATGTGGAATGTTTTCAATGATAGCAGGAAAGTATCCACCAGATTTTGCCATTATAGGGGTTATGAAGGGCCCTAGAACAAATTCTGTACAATAATAGGGGTAGAATCCATTTTACACTAGATGGAGGAGCATATGGGCAGTGAGGAAGTGGGAACATCAGTGTAGAGAGCTCTTCAGAAATTGGCTGTATAGGGGAGGTGAGAGAAAATGGTATGTGGGTTGGAGAGGATTTGTCTTTTGTTTGGTTTTGAGAGAGAGAGACTTAGATCCATGAAAAAGAAGTCCAAGATGGGAGGGGGAATCACTGATGGCTCAGGTTTCTTGAGAAGGCAGGGGGAGGTAGGATCCAGAGTTCTAAGAGTGGGATTCATTACTCTTCCATGGTAACAGGAGAAAGGGTAGATCTACATGGACGTTGTTTGTATGTTTCATAGTGCTAAATTGAAATAGTTCCTGTCTAATAACTTATATTTTGTCTTCAAAGTAGAAAGAAGGTCACCTGTAATTGTGCATTGTTTTAAAGTTGGGAAGTCCATTTGTTTTCCTGCAGTCTATATGAAAGTCTCCCATCTACTGTTACAAAATAAGAGTCATCTGGTTTTTTATCAATATTAAATTAAGCAAGGGTTTCTTTCTGTTTGTGAAAGGTGCAGTTATCTCTAGCAGCCAAGGACGAGCAAACCCGTTTAAGGTAATCCTTTCCAGCAATACTTTCTGTTATTTAAAGACATATTCAGAGAGAGGAGTATTTCCAAAGGAGCCTCCTGGAGACATTAAAGACTAAAGTAGATAGTTGAGGGGGAAAAAAGGAGAAAGCAGCATTTGGTCACGCTTGGACTAAAAATTATACTTTATACTTATCGTCTACGTACCTGTGGTTTTGAAACATACTGGGGTTTTATTGTGAGGGATGTGGTATTTTGGGAATATGTACATCAGTCTTAATTTGTTGTTGTTGTTGTTTTTAAGTGCTGTCAACTCGGTTCCAACCCATAGCAACCCTAAGCAGGGTTTCCTGAGGCTGTAAATCTTTACAGGAGCAGATAGCCTCATCTTTCTTCCACGGAGCAGTTGGTAGTTTTGAACTGCTGACCTTGTGGTTTGCAGCCCGATTCATAACCACTACGGTACTAGAGCTCCTTTTAGACCATACCAAATATAGTACTTGTATTTCCAAAGGCGAAACTAATAACAGCTTCAAATTTTAAAGACAAAATAAGTATCTCTTGGGTTTGGTTTGTGGGTTTTTTTGTTGTTTTTTTTTCAAACATAAATTGCTAAGACTAGTTTTCTCTTTAGGTGTCAGCCAATTCTAAAGAATCAGCCATTTCGACAAATGCAGCACGTTCAACTAATATTTTAGACAATATGAACAAATCATCTAAGAAATCCATTGCACTTAATCGAGCTGCAAATAATGAAAAGTCTCCAGTTATAAAGCCTCTAATTCCAAAGCCAAAGTCTAAGCAGGTACTCTTTCAAGTCTCCACATCCTCAGTAAACAATGTATGATCTGTTTGTTTTGTTTCAGTTTGTTCACTGTTTCAGGCATAGGAGAGGATATGCTAGTTGTTTAGAGTGGATTGTTTAGTAGAACAGTGGTTCTCAATTCTGTCTTTGCTTCAGAATCCTTTGGTTGCTTTAAAAAGTTTGTTGTTGTTTGTTGCCATTAAGTCAGTTTTGACTTCCTCACAAGTTTTCGTATAATCGAACAGAACACTGTCCGACCCTGCTGCGACCCTGCTACATCCTCACAGTCGTTTTGCTTGTGTGATCGTTGTTGATCCTGCTCTCTGAGAGTCTTCCTCCTTTTCGCTGATACTTTACTTCTCCAAGCATGATACCTTTCAGGATTTAAAATAAGGATTTAAAAATGTATATACCCTTATTTCTGCAGGTCACCTTTCAGTCAAATAACAGATTCGCTTATAAAATAAACAGTATCACTCATGAGTAATATTGTTTATTTGATATGCTCCCTTAAACAGTCAACATTTACTCAAAAGCAAAGATGAGAAGGCACGGGGCTTGGGGAAAGCTAGATAAATGGAAACAGAACAAACAGAATGGAAATAATATGAATGCTGATGCATGTGAAAATCATAACCAATGGCATGGAACAATTTGTATAGAAATTGTTAATGGGAAACCTAATCTACTGTGTAAGCATTCACCTAAAACACAATAAAGTATTTTTTAAAAACAGATACAATGGCAAACATATATACCCTATGGACTCAGACATTTATCTCTATTTTAAAAAAAAAAAAAATCCCCAGATTGCTCTGATGCATATTCTTGTTTAATAATGATGGACTCTAATCTTTCCTTGTTCTGCATTCTGATTTACATTGGGAAAATACAGAATGTGAAGTATAGCTCTTTGGTTTTTGTGGGAGAGTACATATTTATTTCAACTGAGAACCTCAGGACTTCACACATTAGTATAAGAATTTTAAATAATTATAAATCTATCTTCACATTTTTCAAAACCTCCTTGTAACTTATAAAATCTCAGTAGGTCTTGTTCTAGTGTTCATGTTTGGTTTTACAGGTCTCTGCAGCCTCCTATTTCCAAAAAACACCTTTCCAACCTGATAAGACTGATGAAATAAAAGAAGAAAAACCAAAAAGTGTATCATCTGAGACCCCAGCTGTGTGTCCTCAAAACACTGAAAACCAAAGGTCTGTACATGAAGAAATTGAGTATTCTTACTATGTTGTGCACTGATAAAATGCATACGGTAGCCGCAATACAAAATCATACAACTTGATTATAAATAACACATTGACACTGGTAGTGGGAGTTCAGAGAACTTGTCAAGGTGCATTCTGGCTGTACTTCTTCCAACACAGATTGGTTTGTTCTTTTGGCAGCCCATGACACTTTTAATATTCTCCTCCAACACCATAACTCAAATGTATCAATTCTTCTACAGTCTTCCTTATTCACTGTCCAGCTTTCTCATTCATATGAGGTTATTGAACATACCATGGCTTGGGTCAGGTGCACCTTTGTCCTCAAGCTGACATCTTTGCTCTTCAACATTTTTTAAAGAGGCCTTGTGCAGCAGATTTTCCTAATGCAAGACATCATTTGATTTCTTGACTGCTGCTTCCGTGAGTGTTGTTTGTTGATCTGAGCAAAATGAACTCTTTGATAATTTCAATTTTTTCCTCCAGTTTATCTTTATGTTATTTATTGGTACAGTGGTGAGGATTTTTGTTTTCTTTATGTTAAGATGCAATCTATGCCAAAGACTTTGGTCTTTGATCTTCAGCAGTATTTTAACTCCTCTTCGCTTTCAGCAAGCAAGGTTGTATCATCTGCATACCACAAGTTGTTAATGAGTCTTCTACCTCCAGTCCTGATGCCATGTTCTTCTTCATATAACCCAGCTTCTCAGATTATTTGCTCAGCATACAGATTAAATAATTATAGTGAAAGAATACGACCTTGGCATACACCTTTACTAATTTTAAACCATTCATTGTTCCCTTGTTCTGTTTGAATGACTGACTCTTGGTCTATGTAGAGGGTCCTCATGAGTACAATTAAGTGTTCCAGATTACCCATTCTCCTCAATGTTGTCGCTAGCTTGTCATGATCCACATAATCAAAAGCCTTTGTGTAGTTAATAATTGTACAGGTAAACATTTTTCTGATATTCTCTGCTTTCAGCCAAGTTCCATCTGATGTTAGCAGTGATATCCCCATTCCACGTCCTCGTCTGAATTCGGCTTGAACCCCTGGCAGTTCCCTGTCAGTATACTGTTGCAGCCATTTTTTAAATTATTGTTAGCAAAATTTTACTTGCGTGCAACATTCGTGATATTATCCAATGATATCTGCATTCCATTGGGTTACCTCTCTTTTTGAATTCAGCACAAATATCGATCTCTTCCAATCAGTTGGCCGGGTAACTGTTTCCCAAATTTCTTGGCATAGATGAGTGAGTACCCCCAGTGGCACATCAGTTTGTTGAAAGATTTCATTTTATATTCAATCAATTTCCCAAGTCGTCTTCTTTGGCAAAACTTTCAGTATACCTTGAACTTCTTCCTTCAGTATCATTGGCTTTTGATCATTATGTTTATTTCTTTTTGGTACAGTGTCTCTATGTATTCTTTTCATCTTCTTTTGATGTTCTCTGCATCATTTAATATTTTGCACATAGAATCCTTCAGTATTTCAAGTCAAGACTTGGATTTTTTCTTCAGTTCTTTCCCTTTTGGTTTTCTAACTCCTGGTCTTTGCACATTTCATTATAATATTTGACTTTGTGAAATTTTGTATTCAGCATTTTTACCTCCTCATATTAGAGAGCAAGCTTCAATCTTTTCTGACATCCATTTTGGTATTTTCCTTCTTTCTTGGCTTCTTAACTACCTTTACATTCTTTCTGTATGATGTTCTAGATGTCATCCCACAAATCTGGTCTTTAGTCATTAGTGTCTAGTTCATTAAAGCTGTTCCAGAGGTGGTCTCTGTTGGGGACCCGCCTCGACATAGGGGTTCGGTTCA